AATATTTATAAAAAATTTTGCAGGAACTGTTCTTTTGAAAATTATATATTAGCGTAACGGTGAAGCTTGTTCGCGTCACTTTCATACATGTAAACGCTGATGTAAAGTTTCTTTTTGTTACTACTACTCTGCATAATACTATATTGCGACCGTTTATAAAATTTAAGATTGCAATCTGTCTTACTAGTGCTTTGTGCGCTCCTATATATATATACATCAATGTGAAATGAAAAGCTTGGAACAATAGGGGAGAGAATCGTTCTCAATTATAAACTAAATAGACAATAGTGGTGTAATACCAACGTAAATACTACATGAGTATACATACAAACAGATTCATTCTCATTATTGAATTCTCGTGAAAAAAAGATTAAACTGGGGAAAAAATTAAATGAAAGGGAGATAGCTTAGAATGTTACAAAATTTCAATGCGTACGAATAGATGTAACTACAACTATCGTGAATGCGTAATAAGAACAAAGTAAAGTAAGCGTTAAATGCGACGCACATATAAACTAAATCAGTCATTACCAGTTAACGTTACGGCGGCAACATGGAATATCCTTTCCGTTCGGCAAAGTCTTTTTAATCAATACGAGCGTAACGCGGCACAATGTCGTTGCTAATCCAATTGTAGAATATTTTACGATTGGAAACCGTATATGAGAATTTCAGTCGACTTTCAAGGTTGAATAAATTGAGAAAATACCGATAGGCCAGACTGTAGTCACCTCTTTAGCCGAGCTGAATGTGCTCCCTTCGCCCACCGTAGGGTAAATAACCCTTTACGAACGTGTTTTCCCTATCGAAAGTATGTCTTGTAATGTCTTCCTTGTAGCATGCAAAGCAGCTCAAAGGGCTCTTAACGCTATCTGACTAGCTCGCCGAAAATTGGGGGGTTCCTGAAAGTGATTTTGCCCTATAGAATCTTTATAAATTTAGATGTAAGTGGATGTGTAGTGAATGTGAGTGTGTTAGGTGATCACCTACTTCGCCAGCCAGAATCAAAACAACATGATTAGATTACAAACATTTTATTAAAGTGTTGTTATTACAAATGTCTTAATCTAAAAGTGTCAAATGTGTATTCTGATTCAAAAATTATGATTATAATAAAAATAAGAATTATAATCTATATTAACAAAAAAAAATAACAACTCACCGAATGTACATTCGAGATCTTGGAAACAATTAACAACTTGATAAATCTAATTTTGAAACTACTGCCACTCGTATCTTCACATATGCAACGTAGTCCAATATTTCTTCAATGTTTTCGGCAATTTACGTCATTAATTTTTCTCCCAAAATTTACCACCGATTTGATTTCCGCATTGACCGGCTTGCATGTGCACAATTACACGCATTTTGTGTTTTTGGTTCTTTTGAAACTAGCGATAGAGTCTCTTTATTCTCGCTTTCTTAGCTCTTTCTTAGTGCCGTAAGAAATGTTTATTTTTTTTTTCTTTCTTTTTTTTTTAACTTAAAAAAAAGTCTTTTCTTTTCTGACGACAAACTTCAACTGAATATTTTTTTGTTTTTGTACTGGGAATATCTTTTTTTTCAAGGGTGAAACTGACTCAGGAGTCCGGTCACGTCATTAATATAATTAGTGAACTGAATTATTTACTGCACTCGCGTTGGATTGTCAATTTTCTTCTTTTTTTTAGATTACTTAAAAAAAAGTCTTTTTATTTTATATTGTTATACACATTTTTTTTTTTTAAATTTTTAAATTTACTTTTTTTTTATTTTATTTATTTTTACTGAACTGAACAAAATCCAAAAATTGAAAAATCAAAAAAACGTTCCCAACAAAAAAGAAAACTTGACATCCCAAAAAAAAATAAAACCCACGCCTACTTGTTTTCCTACATCCTCTCGGCCGGCCATACTTTATCGGTATGTCATCTATCGAAAATTAACAAACCCCTCGAGGAGGTGCTTCGCCATTCCAAAAGAGACATGATTCTCTTGTGCGCCTTTCCCAACGAGCAGAAAAGGGGCCTTTGACGCTTTATTTCAATTTCTCTAGCTACACAATGTACATACATGTAAATAATAACCTTTTCTTTTATTTATTACATTTATTTATTTTTTTGTTATTGCCTTTATTTTATTATTTCCCTTAATCTTTCAACTTTAACTTTAACTTCAGAAGGTCTCACCTTCAGGCGCATGTCGTGCCTTTTAACCATATTTTGTGAATATATGTATGGACAACAAATAAATAAATACAGCTAGGATTGAAATGGTTTCGACCACGCTTGCAAATTTCGAAAAATTGAATAATGTCTTTTTCAACGCATAACGTACATGTGAAATGTCTGCAAAATGTCTTCGTAATTCTATGAATTTCATAAACTAAATTGTCAATAGTTCATCTTTGATAAACTGTGATCTACTGGCTTCTTCAATTCGAGAAGCCAGTAGATTTAAAAAAATTGCGCTTCTTTTATATACCCAGCAATAATAGCAAGTTATGCAGTCCGGTAAACCATGAGACACAGATGATTATGTATCAAATACGTCGCCATTTTCAAAACCCAAGGGAAAAGAAGTTCAGCTGCTTAAATTACCTGGCATAGAATATAGTCACAAATTATGGCGTTATTGGATGACACAGGAAACTTCTGAATTTAATAAACTGCTACGCAATGGCACCAAAGTAAATCCTTTTTTGGAAATATTAAAAAAGCTTGTTGGAAAGAGTGAGTTTCACCATGGCGGCCATCTATGGTCTAATAAATTCTGTGTTGCCGCCAGAAAAAGAAGAGAAAATGCGAGAAATAACTTCAAAAATGAAGCGCATACTGAAAGAAGTTTTAGGAGATGATGGAGTCTTGTTCTATCACAGTTCCCCTAGGACAGCAACATTCCACTATTATCCTCTAATTAAGTTTGGCGATATAAGTTATTTTTCCATATTTAATGTGCTACAGACACCAACCACACAAGTTCCGATGGCCTTAGATTGTAACGGTATGCCGATGGGTATTCAAGTAGTAGTCAATGAAATGAACGATTGCTTGTGTTTAGCAGTAGCTGGGGAATTAGAAAGAGCTTTTGGTGGTTGGGTACCGCCATATAACATTAGCAATTAATTCCAATCATTTAATTTTCATATTGTATTATAAGTAGTAATAAGTGCGTGTGTAAGGAATACCTGGAAAATATCTGCTTCTTCAATAACATTTATAGAATAAAACAGGATAGTAAGTAAAATTTTACATTGGTATTAAATTACACATCTTGACTTATGCTACCGCAGCACATATATATATGTACAATATGTAGAACTTTTTACTTATAATACTCAAAAAATATCGCAAGCGGTAATTGCATATTTTTTTTCTTAAATCACTCGTGGACTGATGAATCCAATTTGCTGTAGTAATTATAGCATATTTTGATTCAACGTGCATGTACATTTTAGAAAATAGTATTTTGCTCTGTTTGAGGCGAAGAACTTTCATGTTAAAACGTAAAAAATGAGAAAAATGAACCTACAACAATAGATTAGATGAAATACGTATGAGCCAAAAGAAGCGACTTCTAAAGACACATATCACTGGGAAAACAATAACGAACAGCGCCTTAATAACTTGGCCTTTGAAATGCTTTCTAAGAAGGTGGAAAGCAAACTTTAATCAAATCTTTACATTCCGCATCGCTGCGAAAGCGGAGATAGGAAATTCGCTGTAATTTTTCTTTTAATTAATTTATAATATTTATTTCGGTAACATACCAGTACTTCCAATCCAAAGAAGTAGCCAACTGAATATAACTCCGTTTTGCGTGAGCGTTACTTGAATTATTAAAAGGAAACACACATTTTCATGTATTACTGTTTGCTAAGATTATCGCTAACACATTTGAATCAAAATCAAATTAATCCGGTAAAAATCTTGGCATGCAGCGTTCAATATTTTGAAGCACAAGGTGCTTGAAACATTGTTATGACTAACTGGTACGGTTGTAAAACGGAAAGCCATCTGTAATTGAGTTTTTGAGTACGCACTCCGGATAGTAATTAAATAATAAAGACAAACATTTGTTATAATCCATGATTTCCTTTGTACTTTTTTCATTAGGCAAGTGTATTTTAATGCGTCTCTTGAAACAGTTCTAGCTTAGTCTTGTTCTCAGTTTTCACAACGGCAATCATCGAAGTGCTACTAACGAGGCTAATAATATTTACATTAACGGTTCCGTTTGTTTCTATAATCACCACCCGTGAATAAAATGTTAAAGTTAATATTTGCTTGTTTTTATAATCCGCGTGTGATACCCTTCCTGCGTGTCTTTTTTTATCGCAATAGATACTTTCAACCTTGCTTCCTCGATCAAACAATTTTTCGCTCGCACTACATATGTGTACATGAGCAATGTATTTCCCTGTTTCCTACTAGTTAATTATACACCCACAAGAACAGCTCTATGTGCACTATGCTATGTAATTATATTGTACATCATTTGCGGCTTGTAGGTACATCAAGTTTGTATCGGCAAGGTCTTAAATTAGACGCACCTTTTATTGTACTGATCGATTCAGAATCATTTTCATTTTGTCTGTCTATTTGACATCTGTCCATGTATATTTGTGCTCAAGCACACATCGCCGCTTCTGAAGTTCACAAAATTTGGTGCACAAATGTTTTTTGAGAAAGAGCGAACTCTATTGAAAATGAATTAGGTCGAACGATTTTTGCCATAACCCCTTATATTGTTAAAAGTCTTAAAGTGGAAACAATTTTGGAAACGCAATTTTCAAAATTTGTACCTTCATAAGCGCAAAGCCACACATTAATCTTTTCATTTTTTTAAATATAATTCGAGAATATGACGCAGATAAAACCTTTTAAATAAAAAATTGTTGAAATAATAAACTTTTATATAGTTTTTTTGATACCAGCACGAATTTAAAACATATTTTCCAACAATTTCAACATATTTTACAAAACTTGCGCCAACACTAGAGAATAACATTGTTTATTTATTTATTATTTTTGAAATAGGTGCAATTTCTCAACAATTTGCATATAATTTTTCTCTACCAAAATATATTCCTCATGTAAGCGTTCGACACGTTCCTTCAGATTAGGCAAAGAGCTACGCAACCACTGGGTATCGATTTTAGCTCTTTCTAATTTCTTTATGTCGGACAACTGTTTGTGGTAAGTAGCGTTTAAACGCTTTTTAACCTCCAACCGATAACCCGTGTAATCTTCCTTATCATGAATGTTTGTGTACAGCAAACGTAGAACTTCATAAACTTTTCGGCATTGACGAGGGTTGAGCTAAAGTAAAATAAAAGTGCAAACATAGAATACAATAGAATGCAAAAAAAAAATTAAGATAGTATAATGAAATTAATGATACTTCTTGCTCTTTAATATACCTTTAAGAACTCTTTAGCTTCATTTATCATGTCCTTGGTAAAACCTTTTTTGATTTCAGTGCTTCCAAAAGACTTTAAAGACATACATAAACGAGCATCTACAAAACTACGCATACGTTGGAAATCATCTGAAGGATCTTCTACTGTTATATCCAGAACATTCTTTTGATTTTGATAGTATTTATAAATCGTTTCAAGAAATATGGTGCCAACGCCAAGCTTTTGAAATGGCGGCAATACAAGCATTTGGCTGACACGAGGTCGTATGTGCTGAGGATAGGCATAATATTCATAAACAGTGGTGTAACCAGCAGCAGCGTAAAGCCAATCACCATTATCGTTTTTATATTTCTCATAACTACAGTAAAAGTGTGAAAATATAATAAATTAGTAAACCTCTACATGTCAATTTACCATACAAAGTACGACCACTGCACATCATCTACGTCAATGTATGAAGCTGCGTCAATGAACCACAATACAAATGTTTGTAAACGCGAAAAGAATTTTAAAAATGCTGTCTGCCGATAATTGCAATGATAAATCTCAAATATACGTTCTTGGTTATGATTCGGATTGAAATGAATGTGTTCAGCAAGTTTTTCACCAAAAGGTTTAAATTTGTCAGCCTTATCCAAAGTCTTTAAAAACTCATCCATGTTGACAAAATAACAACCATCGGGCAGCTTTTCAGCTAAAGTAGCTACAACATTATCGGCCTTCATAACACTATTTGGAAGATCGTCGACTTTTTCCTCATATTTTACATCTAAATATATGTGTAGTGGCCCCGCTGTGTAATATATGCGAACTTTTAAATCCAAAAAACCGAATATGCTCTCAGCGTCGCCAAAAATTTGATGAGCCATTAAGGGGTGGAAAGCCAAGGTATCATCCTCCAAATCCGATTTCGAACGTACTATGTAAAGCATTAGAGAAAAATTAAATAGATGAAAATTTGTCCAAAGAACACTGGAAAGCATTTACTTAATTTAAATTCAACCACATCCAGCGCACTCGAAATGTATTCTTCAAGATCTTGTAATTGAGCCATTCGGATTTATCCAAGGATTTTTTTTGCCACAAATTGGCGGGAAAATAATTCGTCCTTTATAGATCTTCTACGATATCGCATCCAATATTCTGTTAAATGTGTTTTGTTCAATTTTGTACATTTAAAATCAATTTGTTTACAGTTTAATCTTCTTTTGGTTTGAAAGATAATTTTGTACAATATTTCCCTAGAAAAAGTAAAGCGAATATTAATAAAATTTGTCAAATAAATTTTATGCTTCTTCCTTAGACTTTCTCACGCTAGAGCGTTCACTTGCAATCGTTACCTCAAATGAAACACAGGCTTGTTACCTTTCATAAATGTAACATAGATTTAATATATACGACCTACCCAAATTTTTTAAAATAATATATCGAACTTGTTAATTGATATATAAGATCTTTTATAGGGCGTAATGCTTATGCCGAAGTGTATATAGAAACGATAAAAACGTTTAATTGCAAAATTCAACATTACTCATAACTCATGCTTGGCAGTTCTTTAAATCGTATAAAATTTATCTCACTGTTCTAATACTTCTCTCATATTTACTACTAAATTAACATTCGTGGCATGATTAAAGCAAAAATAATATTTGGTTAAAAAAACGCCGCATTGCCATTTCTTTTCTATAAAAGATATATTGAACTATTATAAAAAATTCTAAAGCTTTTTGAAAATTATTCAGGAAAAGGTAAGATTATTAAGTAGCAAAAAAAATTAAAAAGCCTTCTAATTCTGCTGCTACGCTTGCGTTTTTTCCAAAATTTATAAAAAGTTAAAATTACCATTTTAGTACACAAAATGGACAACTATTTGTTTGAGGGTGGTCGCATAACTAAAATGGAGGTCGATTATGCTCCAGCATGTGACGAAAAGATTCCGTTGGCCAAAGAATTAGCTAAACAAAATCCCGATTCATTTCATGAGGCTATTGAAATGTTATTGAACCTTGAAAAACAAACTCGGTTAGGTGCCGATATGGTTTCCTGTTCACGGGTGTTGGTAGCCGTTTGCCAAATATGCTTGGAGGCCGGCAATTGGAATGCTTTGAATGAATATGTTACGTTGTTAGTTAAGAGACGTTCGCAGCTGAAACAAGCGGTTTCTAAAATGATACAAGAATGCTGCTCTTATGTAGATAAAACTCCTGATAAGGAAACTAAATTGAAATTCATTGATACTCTAAGGTCCGTAACGGAAGGAAAAATATATGTAGAAATTGAAAGAGCAAGGCTGACGAAAATATTGGCTGATATCAAAGAAGCTGATGGTGACATATCTGGAGCCGCTGCAGTAATGGAGGAATTGCAAGTTGAAACGTATGGTTCCATGGACAAGAGGGAAAAGGTGTGATTTTTCGCTTTCTCATTCGGGATTTCGTTTTTAATCTTTCTCTTTACTTTAACTTCAGGTTGAATTAATTTTGGAGCAAATGCGCTTATGTTTGTTAAAAGAAGATTTAGTTTCCACACAAATTATAGCTAAGAAGATTAGTATAAAATTTTTTGATGATCCTGCGCAGCATGATTTGAAATTGAAATATTATGACCTAATGATAAGGCTTGATCGTGACTCTTCCTATTTGAAGACTTCACGTCATTATCAAGCAATAGCTGAACCGCCTCGTCAGACGCCTTCAGTTGAAGCGATTGAAGAAAGCAAAAAGAAAAGCGTTACCTTTAAGGAAGATGACAAAAAGAAAAAAGACAAAGAAGAAGTCAAACTGGCAGCTGCTTTGCCCCCGGTAGAGTTGACACCCGAACAAGATAAAGAACAGAAGCAGAGATTAATATGCGCTGTGCTCTATTCTGTTTTGGCACCATACGATAATGAACAAAGCGATATGATGGCAAAATTGTCCAAAATTAAAAAACTTGAGGAAGTACCCATTTACAAGTAATAACGTTTTCCTTAGAAAAAATTGTTTTTATAATTGCTTTCTTTTTGCATAGAGAAATTTTACGATTATTTATGTCAAAGGAGTTGATTAATTTCGATACGTTTAATCATGATTTTGGCACAGTATTAGCCGAAAACGATATGTTCCAAGATAATACAAAGCACGGCCGAAAATGTATTGTTGAACTTAAGGATCGATTAATTGAACATGTAAGCAGTCTTCTTTAACTTGACAATCAAGAAAAGAGCAATCTTCTTTAAAAATTTCAGAACATTCGCATTATTGCAATGTACTACTCACGTGTGCATTTGAAACGTATGAGCGAATTATTGAATTTACCCCCAACACGTTGTGAAGAGTATCTTTCAAAGCTGGCCAACAGCGATACTATACGTGTTAAGATTGACCGTCCTGCCGAGATTGTCTACTTCACCACCAAAAAAAGTGCTTCGGACGTTTTGAATAATTGGGCCAACGACGTTAATCAGTTGATGTCATTAGTGAATAAGACTTGCCATTTGATTAACAAAGAAGAATGTATTCATTCTGTAAAAAGCATTGCTGTCGAAGAATAAATGTAATGTATTAAGAATAACGGCACCGTTACTATAGGCTAGAACATAACTAGAACGCGCATATTGTAACTTTCTCCTGGAATTAAATTAGCTTTATATGCTTCCAATTGCAATAAGCCTCAAATTCTTCAGAATTGCATGGAAAATTTTCACCACTTAACAAGATCGCCTCGATTTAACAGAATGGCAGCTATTTTATTGTAACGCTATGTATCCATCTACACAAGTTTTATAATTTCCAGTTTTATTGATGATAATGTAATGATCTCTTTTCCCTGAAGTTTGCATTACGTACAAAGCTCTTACGAAAACTTATATGCACGTAGAAAGTAACACCATTAAAAACCGGCCTCTTTTCCGAGCAGTTAAAATTAATAACATTTTTTTTAAGTTACGAAACATAACTATGATTTGAAACATTAATATAAATTAAACCTGGCAGCATGTTTTCGAAGTTATAAAAATCTGGTAAATTGTATACGTTTTTGTTTTAATAAAACTTGTAAAGTGATAGTGCTGCCATCTCTCTCCGTGTATTGAACGTCTGTTTTATGTGTGTTTGTATGTGTTTTGTTGATATCAAAGTGGTATCGGGTAAACTTTACTGTTGGATTTTGCGTACAAATTTGCCTACATTCATTAGAGTTTTTACTGATTCGTTTCCTTATCATAATTTCTATATATATAGCTGTTGGTATTATTATTATTGTTATTATTAATCCTTAAGATCGACATCAACTCTTCAACGTGTACTCATTGTCATTTTTGGTAAACGGCCCGTCTCCAAAAAAGTATATTGTACGACCAAAAAAGTATATTGTACGACCAGAAAAGTATTTTGTACGACCAGAAAAGTATATTGTACGACCAAAAATTTGGAAATTGTAAAGCATTTAAACTTCAACCTACTTTACATAAGGCATCTGACAAACGAAACACGTCAAATAAATGAGATCCAATTGCGATCACTGAGGTAGTCGGTTGACCAAACACAAAGATTCCGTCAATTTTACGCAATCTGAAAATGTTGGAAAATATTTTTGTTTAACAAAAAGCAACAAAGTATTTTCATGTTCCTTACCCTCGTTCTATATAGTGCAAAAGAGGTGCTCTTGTACTGCTACGGAGATAATTAAAATAATAAGCCCTTCTTCCTTCCAGAGAGTTAGAACTCTCAGTGATACTGTTTCTTGCAGTTACGCATTTTGTTATCAAAACTTCTATTTTTGACAACATAAAAACCATTCTACCTATGCAATTTTGTTACCAATAAATCATTTCAGCTTTGGTCATATGAGTAATCTTTTTAATGATACGAAAAGTATGCTAAGAAAGTCAACACATTTACAAAAACTATAGAAATTTTTTGTATTTCGCTTGCTTACCACTAATTTTTTGGTCACTTTGGTCATAAGAACTTAAGGCATATAAAACAACAACTTACCTACCTTTTCCCATTGTATAATAGTCCTTTTGCCAATTTTGTTTAAGGTCTCTTGTATCTTGTCCCAATACCACCCCTTCTCCTTTTTGCCATCCATAAATTTAGTTTATCTCAGCAAATGATAAGTATCTTCTTTTGAGGCTTTTTAACCCTATTTTTCAAATAAAATATTGAAAACCTTGAAATTAAGAAACGAAAAGAAAAAGGCAAAAAGGTCGAAAAATTGCACACAAAAATTCTAACTCCAACAAGAATAACAACAGCCAGTTAATTTATAATTGAATTTTAATAAAATTATAAAGAACAACGGAGAATAGGGGGAGGTAGCTGATTTTACAAAATTATTGCCAATTGTAAATAAATACAGACTCAATTATTATCAATTCTAAACAAATTTAGACTGACTTTTTCAATGCTTCCTCAATTGTAAACAAATTCAGACGCTTACTCTCAGTTCTGACCAAATTCAGAAGTTTACTCTCAGTTGTGGCCAAATTATTTTTGAATTACTCTCAGATGTGACTAAATTCTTAGTCGTTTTTTAATGCAACAGGTGGTTGTTTACAAATACAGACTGGCTTTTTCAATTATTCTCAATTGTTAAGAAATACAGACCATGAAAATAGAAAAATTTCTTTCATGCACGAATTGTGTATAAGAGTTAAGCTTGACTTGATAAAAGTTCTTTAGAAGCATGGAGCAATGAATATTTCTCTTATTTGTTTGTTAAATAAAGATAATTAAATTTTAATCCTTTAGAGTTTAAGTGAATCACAGAAATATTATCTTTAAGAATGACTCTTTGTATGTTAATATTGTATATAGCGTTTGTTGGCCGGTAAGCTTGGATAATCTTCCTTTCCAAGCATTCATCAGAGACAGCGTTGATTTTAAGAGCCCAAATTTAGGTTTCTTAAGTCCAATGCAAAAATTGCATTTTTATTAAAAAAAATTTTACAATACTTTACATATCATAAATATTAAATACAGTTATCATTAAAAAGAAAACAATCACAATAATTTTTTATATTTATTCTTTTGTTTTATTACAATCGTATTACTATAATTTAGTTTTCTTTATTAAAAATTTTGTTCGTAAAATAAAATCCTTGTGTTAAAACTATAACCAAAATGTATTTTGATTTAAATACTGAATAAATAGTTCTGTTCCTTGTTAATAAATATTTTAAATCAAAAAAAAGAAAAAAGCAAGTAAGAATGCATATTCACAACACAATATCTATCTTCCGTTAACATAACTTTAATAAAAGGCTGTTCATGCTTCGGAGTTACAAATGGAAACGACGTCCTGAAGCCTCCATAGAGTGACGCTTATTGGTGATAATCTATCCACCGTTTTGCTGTACATACACACAGCTACCGCCTTCTTCTATGGATGTGACTAAATATAGACGCTTACTCTAAGACATGATCAAATTCACGCATAACAAGCGGTTGTTAACATATTCATGGTCAATAAGAGAAAACAAATTGGAAATTCAATGTTTGATCTTAACGGTAATCCTTAAATCATCATAATAATACTTAAATCGATTTCTACTATGAAGCAAAACGTCAGTCTTTCTTGTATGAGGATTTTATGCAATAAGCAGAAAATTATTTTTTTTGATAATAAATCATGTCAAAAAGGAAGCAAGAAGAAAAGGGCTTTCACGTGCTGTAGTTAAAATAGAAAGCATCGTAATGACAAAATTTATGGCCTCGTTTGCGTATAATATGGTTTAGGTATTTACAAAAATTCGCAAAGACCCTGAATATTGATATGCTGTGCAACTACCTCGGTTGGATTTGAGGGAATATCTATCAAACTTGTTAACTTGATCCTTCCCTACCTATGTAACCATCGATCGTAAATCGGTAAATACGGTACTAATGATCTCCAAATTTCCCAAGGAGCAGAAAATGGCTCTCATAATATCCATTACTTTTTTACAAATACCTGCCTTGGACTGATTAGCATCCTACCCTGCCTCTCCAAGGTTGTGGAGTTTATCGTGAAGAAACAACTTGATTCACTCCTGAATAGCAGTAATTCCCTGCGTGATGGCCAGTTCGTCCTTCGGCCCTTTTAATCTCAGTCACGAAATTCTTTAGGGACAACATCAATGTTGATAGGAGCTGTGTTCTTGTTGGTCGCGATCTAACAAAACCATTTGACAGAGTCCCATACACTAAGGTAATTAGGAAATTGAATGACAAATACAACTTTTCTTGTAAGATCATGTGGTCGTATATTTCGAATCGTAAATATTTTGTTTCTGTAAACGACTCTAACCCTTTCTTCGCTGAGACTACATCTGGTATGCCGCAAGGTTCCATTTTGGGCCTCCTACTATTTAATCTCTTCGTAAATAATCTTGGGCTTTTGGTTGGTAACGATCGCGGTTTTTTTTATGCAGATGACATCTTCCTGCCTTATAGAAGTAACGCAAATAATTTGCATTCATTTGAAAAAGCAATTAAGAAATTTTTAGCAGTTGTTAACTACTTGATGTTAGATAATATGCTTTAAATTAGCCCCATTAAGACTAAAATCTTATTTTTCAATTCTCCTCCAATGTAAAAATATCTGATCTCATAGATTCAATGCAATGTTTTGGTGTAACCCTTGGTCGTAAACTCAACTTTGTCTTCCACATTGGCAATGTCTCTGCTGGAGTTTGCTTTAAGCTTCGAAAGCTGTACAATCTAAATATGTGTCTGTCTCTAAGCGTTAAACATACCACATACACAACATAACTACTGTACTGAATTATTCTCTCGGGTCCAAGGTATAACTTAGATAGGCCTCGAAGTATTCTTACCCATATAACAAGTTTTGTTTATAGTGTCCAACTTAAAGACCGTATCTTCTCTTTCGATCATTCGTTCATAAAATCCTCATTTCCCAATTATTTAAAATTTAAATTTTTACCTACTTCTGCAAATTCATTCAAACTCGATCCCCATACCTTTTAACTGAACTACTACAGTTCTCTACATTGGACAGAGAACCTTTCATATTAATACCCCGTTTATCTAACTCATCATCAGCCAGCTGAACGACTTTCTACTCTTCGTGTTGCTAAATATTGAAACGTCTTGTCACTTGATACGTTTAGAAGAAAATTTACATCACTGTTAAGCTCATAATGCATATTTTGTTGCTGGTAGGAAATGAGGATTAAGGAGTTTATGGAGCAAGATGATTATATTAGCAGGCACCTAGCTGACTTTTATATTCACTTATGTTGTATTTTTTTTTTCATTTGGCATGTATCTATGTAACTAGTTAATATGCCTATGGCTTCATAGTTACTTAATAAATGAATAAATGAAATGAAAATTGCAATTTTCAAAATTATTCGACAAAATTCGCTGTGTAATAGTGTTTCGACATTCTAAATTAATACAATATATTTGGTTAGGCTGTTGCAGTTTTTTGAATAACAGTTTCCACAAAAACTAAATTTTATATGCTAAAAAGACACAATTTGCAGTACTTCATGGTGAAAAGTGATTTGTAATAGTAAATTGGCAAGGAATTTAACCTTACCAACCAAACTTGGACCACGTAGGTATATCTTTTTTAGACCCAACAAATATCGGTGTTATCATGACGAGCAAGACGTTATATGGAGGGAAAGTTTTATTTCTAGTTTTTTATGACGGAGAAAAAAATTATAAAATTTTTAAATAGTCTGCTAAATTTTGATCACGCCAGCGATGCGATATGCGACCTTTCATGAAGTATGCTTTTGCAGGAAAATGAAACATAATTTTTTGGTGTATTAATACCATACCGGGTGAACAACTGCACTAGGCGAAATGGTGTATCTGATCTTGCTCGCCTATAATGTTCTAACTTGTATTCTTCCAAGCAAACACGCGGTAGTTGCGACCAAACGTTTCGACGATCAGCCTAAACTTGTATCATTTGGTCTTACCAAGACGATCTGAAGATTTTTAAGTCAAATGAAGTGCAAGTAATGAAATCGATCCGCAATGGTAAAGCCAAACTCCTTTTTGGCTACGCGATTTATATCAACGATTTTATTAACAATAATAAAATAATAATGAGACATATTTCTGATAATGGAACAAACATTCTTGATTTTTTTTAAATTACATATCTATCCAAAAAAATAAAAAGTAAATGTTACATCAAGATGGGAAAAATGGTAGAGAGTATTTTCCTTAAAGGGGACAAGATAAAAATGATGTTTAAATAAATAAAAGAAAATAATAAATTAATTTCTAAATGAAAGATCCAGTACGTGATGTCGTTTCAGGCTCCTTATTTTATTGGATTCAGCCAGAAGAGATATCGCTAAAGGATTTACGTGATTACCCAGTATGACAAGATATTTTGAGGAAATGCGTTGAATTTTGGCAGAAGTGCAAGTCATTGTAAATGGTTTTGTTGCGAACGAAGCACGGGGCACTAACAGTAAGGCGGCGGGTTTTCGATTGATATTTTTGGAGTATGTCAATATTAGAATTACAGTTGCATGCCGTAAGTCTAAATAGGTTACAGACTACTCTCGTACACAATGCATTTGTTTCTTATAGTAAGTTGAGAATTAGCTAATAGAGTCTTCTGGTTTTAAAGCCAAATTTAGCGTTTAGACGTAATATGATTTGTTTGTGTTAATATTTGGGAAACATGTAAGCCGAGATATATTTCGCAGCTGTGGATACGGATATCATTGCCATTCCCAAATAATTATGGGCAAAAACCCTTATTTAACGTAAACATAATGTGCGTCGAAAGCATTTATTTTGATATTGCGTTTGTTCAGCGGCAGCAAAATTTTGTTGAGGTGGATTTGTAGTTCGTAGGAAGCACTTATGGGATGACTAGGAGAAAATTGGATTGCTGTGTCATCAGCGTACGTCGCAGTTAAACTGTTATCAGCGGCCGGGAAATCTAAAGTGAACATTGCAAAAAGTATTGGACTTAGAACGTTTCCCTACGTGACTTCTACCTTCGGCTTCATATATATCGGATCGGTCATTTTCAACTTCAAAATAGAAATGTCTGTTTTGCAAATAGAATTGCTTCGCAAATTCTATACGTAGGAATTGGAAGAAATTTTTCAAGTTCAAAAAATAGCCCACCATGATAGTCTTTATTGAAGACCTTTTCCACGTGAAGGAATAATATTTTTACT